AGTGTGTGAGTTTATGTGTATGTGGTTTGTGGCAGGCAGATAAACACTGCTTTGCATCCAACGCACTGACTTAGAAATAGATCAGAAACACACACACACAGATGTTTTCAGAAAGCTGATGGTGAAATCTGACCGCAGAGGGAACTTTCAATGTCCGGGTGTTTGAGCCTTCGCCTCTGCGCTGTCAAATCTGTAACGGGGCAGTGATGGGACGCTGGCCGCCACCACGCTCCAGTTCCTGCTTTTATTCTGAGGGTGGTTCAGAAGCAGTGATGCCAAAAACCACACAGATGTCTCAGATCCCAGCAGGAATGTGAGTACACCATGTACTTTGTTTTCTCCAATCCTCCAAATCTGACACCCAAAAACTTCCATCCTTTCCATCCAGAATCCATCCTGAAAGTCCATTTTCATAGAGCCCTGTAATGGAGACCCAGGTGTTCCAATATGCTTGCCTGTATTTTAATCGTAAATAAATAATAAATAAATGAATGTATTTTTATGGATTGAGGGATTGGTATTTAAAACGTTACATGAAAAAGAAACGTTTATGGTTTGGTGATTCTGTATTAGGTTTATTGAATTTGACATTTTTATGGAAGGTGAAGAAACATCTGGAGGGACTGGACATCCATCCTGTGTCAAGAAGAAGAACCTGAGTGGCAGCTGATTGCAGTTCATCATTTGTCTTGTAAACCTAAATTCCTCAAACATGTATTTAAGAGAAGTGTGTTTGCTGTATTCACCTTTTCCTGGTCACTTCTCTTACAGGAGCAAACGAGTAAGAGCAGCTCAATCAGCTGCTTATGAGCTCTTAGAATAAACCACTGTGCCAGCTTAGGGGAGTTTGGTTAAGGTGTTTCTAATTTATATATAATTGACTGAAGTGTATGTGTAATTGAATTACTTGTGGGACTTTGTGCGTATATAAATAAGTCTTCCATGTGTTGTGTTGTGCTTTGATGTTTGCTTACGTGGATGATCAGTGTGTCATTTGGTTTGCTTGGTTTCCCAGATATGGGTTATACAAGAGGCTCACCTGAATCAGGTAGAGTATAAATGCAAGCCAGTTGCTATTAGAAAGGTTTGGGTTCTTTAGTGTGTAAACTCATATGCTTTTCATAATAAAGACCACATGTTGGTGGATAAAGTTTATTCCAGCAGGCCGAACTCACAAGTCACATGACCAGATACTCACCCTGAAACGGGAAGGACTGGACTCACAAAGTTTTCTACTTTCAATGGGATTTTAAAACAATTCTAAAAAATGAAACATTAAAAACAGCCGCACCTTCATTCATTTAAATAAATTATTTGAACTGCAGGATCTGAAAATTCCCATCATTCCTACTTAGAAGTCAGACCTGAGATGTTCAGGAGGGAGATGAGTAAAAAAAGGTGAACTGTGATAGGATGATGAATATTAAAGTAGAATTTATTATGAAACTGATGGTTGTGTCTAATCTGGTTTATTGTTGAGCCTCTTCTGTAACACTTGGCTTCCGCTCTCTCTGGTGTCGTGTGGTTGTGTGGCAGGAAGTCCTGCTGGTTGTGAAATGTGTTTACTGCCAGCTGGATGTGTTGTTGTGTTGGTTCACCGCAGCTCCATGAATCTGACACACACACACACCTCATCTGGAACTACTTTTAATCCTTATTTCACTTCCTCTGACATCATCAGTTTAAATAAAAGTTAAACTATACAAAATAAACCCAAAGTCCTGGATCAGAGGGCGGAGCTCTGGACTAATGAAGGGCCTGGACACACCTGAGGAACCACAAACATCCAAATATGTCCTGAGGTTTGATTTCTCCCCATTAAAGCAGGATGGAAGCACTTTGAGCTTCGCCATGTTAAACAGCTGCTTCCATCAGAAGAAACAATAAAACATCTGCATGACGACTGCTTTCACATCACACCCTTACTGCAGTGAACACTCGCTCTCACACACAGAAACTGCCAGTATAAATCAGCCTGTTGTTGTTGTTGATGTTTCTCTTGATGGGCGTAACATCCGTGGGAGGGGGGCAGAGACTGAGGGCGACATGATGACATGACACTTCCTGCCAAACACGCAATAAAACAGACGGAGCAGAGCAAGACTTGGTCAGAACCTGCAGGACCCCCCACAGGACCAGGATTACCCCGGACATCCAGGACCGCCCCGAGCGCTTGTTACGATGTGGCTGCTTCTGATGATCGTCAGCCTGCTGGATCAGAACCAGGCTGCGCCCGTAAGGCTGGATCATACTGGTCAGTTCACGAGTCAGACATGAGGCTCATCTGTGACTCTGAGACATGTTTGTTTTTGTCTGCAGCTTCCAGGAGACCTCCACAGCCTTCAGCTCCACCTGCAGAGCCAAGTGGACCAAACAGCAGTGAGTCAGTGCAGTACAAGTACACAGAGTACTCTCAGTTCTATGTGGCTACAGCTAGAGCAGCAGAGTCCATCAGAGTTGTAGTGAACTTGTATTTTGAGGTGTTTTCTTCAGGCAGATATTGATGCAGCTATTTCTTCAGCCTGAACCTTGTGTTTCCCACACACACTGTAACATGTGTATCCAGATGAAACCCTACTGCCAGCTTGAGCTGGGGCTGTAGAGGCCATCCTTCATCTTAAGTCTTCAGTTTCTAACATCACTGTGTGTCTGCAGCCTTCGGCCCCTCCTGACCCCGCTCAGAAGATCACTTCCTCCTCCTCCTCCTCTTCTTCATCAGTTTCCTCGGAGTCAAGCCAGAGTTCAGAGGTCAGAGGTGACCCGAGTTACAACACAATCTCACTGTATACTCTGAGTCTATTTGCAGCTTTGAGGTTAGAGTCTGGTAAAATCTTTAATTTGGTAAAAACTGAACAGAGTCTGGTCCTGCAGTCCAGCTAATGCAAATATCTGTTATATCTTGTTAAATGATCACAACATAAGATGGTACATTATTCAAAAACCTCAGCAGTATCCATCAGAAATAATTTTATAATATGTCCTCCATCTGCAGTCATTACGTCCTGACACGTGCTGAGTTTTTTCTTATTTGTAGTTTTTTACCTTTTAGATTAAAAGAAAGAGAAACTGCAGCTTTAAAATGAGCGTCACTGTGCCATGTGACCAATCAGCTGTGGTTATTAAGGACAGAGTGACTGAATCGGTCCGTTTGGTTGATGTTTACAGGGTCCACAAATGATGCGAGAACGGCAGAACCTGGAGAACACGGTAACATACACACACACTCACACGGCTCCGTAAACAAATATCGTCACTCTTACTGTGCTACAATGTGTGATGTCATGATGTGTGTGTGATGTCATATCCTGCAGGCTGTGGAGCAGGTGGACTCCTCTCAGGAGGTGAGCCGTCACTTTGATGTAAATAAAGCTTATTTTAATGAGATTAAATGTTAAATGTGTGTGTGTGGGTCAGAGCGAGGAGCTCCTCCAGCCTCCCAGTGACACCAACAGCACCACCGGCACCAACCTGTGGATCAATGAGCTAGTTTTACTGGGAGAGAGAGCGGGCGAGCAAGAAAGCGACGGAGAGAGAGACACCAGAGATGGAGAGGACAGCGTGGAGAGCCAACACAGGGTGACATCACAGTGACATCACACACACCTGGGCAATACTTTAAACAAGAATGTTTGATCTGATCTTCTGGAAGATCAGATGAGTGAGACTCTGGGGCGCAGACAGCTTAAATTATATTATATTCTATTACATATTATATCTATTATATTATGTTACATTGATGTTGATGGATGCTAATATAAAAATATAAGATATACACCTGTCAGGTTTTAGGTTATTTCTGTCTGCAGTCCTGTGCAGGTCACATGACTTACAGCAATAAAACTTAAAAAAACGAGTTGAGACGAGACTGAAAGCACAGCCGGTTCAAACTGATTCCTAATTGATGAAAGTGTAATGATAACGCATTAGGTGGGCTCCCACGTCTCCTGGTTGGGTCTATGGAACTAACTCAGCCTCCCCCTCAAGTCAGCTTGTCATCTTCTTGGCTCCTTTAGGTTCTACAAAATAAATCAACTCTAGTGTGACTCCCCCCTTTCTTTTTTTGACCCCGACCCCTACCAGCCTTTGCTGATGACCTTCCACCATCTCCTGACACGACCTCGGCACAGAGAACCCGGTGTGATCTCAGATGTGGCTGCAGAGGGAGGCGTGTCTGAAGTTGGCGATGTGGGCGGTGCCAGAGAGGAAAACTCTGAGTTCCTGCGACTGTGGGATGACAGCATTGAGCGAGAGGCCGGGCTGACCTTTGACGTGCCTGACCAAAGCTTCCATGAAGATGAGGCGGGGCTTGAGCTGGGGCTGTAGAGGCAATCCTCCCATTGTTATGATCACTTATTAACCAGTGAATGATGCGATTATCATTAACTACTGAAGCGTCACAGAACATGTAGCTCCACATGTTAAATGTTTGTTTTAACTGTCCTGATCAATAAAGCTCTGAAGTTTTAATGAGCACTGAGCATGAAACCAGATCATCACACAGTGAATTGATGCCGAGATATCAGCCTCTGTTTGGATTCCAGCAGTTTAACCTGAAACAATGAGCTGAGTTTGACTGTAAAAAAACGTGTTCCCATGTTTTGTTTTTTCTGTTTGAGCCTGAACATTTATTAAACTAAACTTCACATCTGTGCCTTGTCACTGTTTGGTAATAAAAAGTTTAAATTTTTCATGAACTCCAGTTCTGTTGCTTTTCCATTTAAATATCACCACGCTTTATCCACTGTAATTATTGAAATTGTTAATAAAATTGTGGAGTCTCAAGCAGCTGCGTGTTGGCTGCACTGTGATTTAGACTCATTCACCTGAATCTTTTTGGTTTATTTTTAGTCATTTTGCTGATTTCAGGTCAGTTTTTATTAGTTTTAGATATTTTTTTTCTGATTTTTTACACAATAAAACTCAGATGACAAAGAGAGCTGTGACATGTTTAGATATTTAGGTTATTTTCTTTGAAACTTACAGAAAGGACCAGACTGGTTCGCATCCCTTTATTTTTTTGTCAACAAACATTATAATAAACATTAATGAGGTTAATGATTTCATTTTACAGGCCCTGAAAAGGAAACAAACTTTACTTTGCACCAGAAAAAAAAGTAAAACAAATGCAGTTTTACTTTGTTTTAGTTTTTTTTCCCCCCAGGTAGTGGTTCAGCACTGTAACAACATAGCTTCGGAAAAAGGCAGGATCAGGGCAGCTTCTACAGGAAGCACAAGTTTGTGGTCCTTAAAGAAGAAGTGTGCCATTTATCGTCCTAACAGGAACAAAGGGTTTTGATTGGGGGCTCTGAAATGCCCGATATGCAGAACTGTGAGCAGCTCCTGGTGGTCTGTGGATCCCTGAGGACATCTTCTCCTCTGGTTTTACAGCAAGTTTGTGGAGGTGGTTTCTGGTCAGTCTCATTTTCTGTGCCTACATTAAATAAATGTTTGTCATCTTTAATTGGGTGTTTGTTTGTTTGTTTGTTTTTAAATCTCCCATAGGTATTATTCACAGTATTAATTTAAGAGTGCCACAGAAAGTTACTCATTTCTGTTGTTCAGCGTTTTTTCCCCTCACAGCAGCACACTGCAACAAGCAGACCACACCAATGTGTTTATGATGTTCTGAACAATAGAACAACCGCATACGGAATTCCACTGCAGACATTAAAAAGGAAGAAGATCTGAAAATCTTCTACATGAAACATGAAATGGTTCTTTATAAAGAGACTTCTGCTGATCCCGGCTCCAAGTTCTCTGTCCTATTCTGATGTTGTTCTTGGTGTTGTTTGAAGGTGCCCTTGTGACGGAACGTTTGACCGCAGTCCTCACACCAGTATGGTTTTTCTCCTGTATGGATTCGCATGTGACATGTCAGGCTGAACTGCCGACTGAAGGCTTTCCCACACTCATCACAGCTGTACGGTCTTTCTCCGGTATGGATACGCTGATGTTTCCTCAGAGAGCACGGGCGGGTGAAACTCTGCCCGCACTCCTCACAGCTGTATGGCTTCTCTCCAGTGTGAGTTTTGCTGTGTTTTTGTAAAATACACTTCTGCTTGAAACTTTTCCCACACTTGTCGCAGCTGTACGGCCTTTCTCCAATGATAACTCTTTGATGATTTTTAAGGGAGCACGTGTGAGAAAAAGGTTTTCCACACTCCTCACACCAGGGCGGACTCTCTCCGGTGTGGATTTGCTGGTGGACTTTCAGGGAAAATTTCAAAGCAAAACTTTTACCACACTGGTCGCAGCTGTATGGTTTCTCTGCTGTGTGCAAACGTATGCAGTGAGTGTTCAGACTACATTTTAGAGTAAAAGTCTGACCACACTGATCACAGCTGTATGGCCTCTCCCCGGTGTGACTTCGTTTGTGCTTCCTCAGATGGGACGACTGAGTGAAAGCTGAGCCACATGTGTCACAGCTGTATGGTCTCTCTCCTGTGTGAACACGCTGGTGGCTCAAGAAACTACTTAGTTGAGTGAAAGTGGAAGGGCACTGATCACACCTGTATGGTTTCTTCCCGGTGTGACTTCGCTCGTGCCTCCTCAGATGAGACAACTGAGTGAAAGCTGAGCCACATGTGTCACAGCTGTACGGTCTCTCTCCTGTGTGAACACGCTGGTGCGTTAAGAAAGTCTGCAGTCGAGCGAAAATGGATGGGCATTGATCACAGCTGTACTGTTTGTCATCCATGTGAATCTTCCGATTCTTGTTTGAGGCGTTGTCATGGTGCTGGGAGCCATGATGTCTGGGTCTCTTGTGGCCACCACGTTTCTATGGCAAAAGAGGAAAAAGAAGGACAGTTTGGTAAAACAAGGTGAATGTAATTACAGAGACAACACACAGGGGACTGAGCTTTGAAACCTGATGGAGGAGGGCGGATGGAAAAAGGGAGGAGAAATACATGTGAAACTTGAAAAATTAGAATATCGTGCAAAATTTCCTTTATTTCAATCATTTAGTTTAAAAGCTGAACCTAATATAGGATAGACATTGCAAAGCAAGATATTTCAACCCTTTATTTGTTATAATTTTAATGATTATGGGTTACAGCTTATAAGAACGCCAAAATCTCAGAAAATTAGAATATTACATGAAATCAATAAAACAAGGATTTTAAATACAGAAATGTCAGACCTCTGAAAAGTATAGTCATGCTTATGTACTCAGTACTTGGTTTGGGCCCCTTTTGCATGAATTACTGATTCAATGCGGCGTGGCATGGATGCTACCAGCCTGTGGCACTGCTGAGGTGCTGTGAAGACCAGGATGCATTGTTCAGTCTCATGTCATGTCTCATCTTTCTCTTGGCAATGCCCCATAGATTCTCTATCGGTTTCAGGTCAGGTGATTTTGCTGACCAATCAAGCACACCATTCCCATGGTCATTGGACCAGGTTTTGGATCTTTTGGCAGTGTGGGCAGGTGCCAATTCCTGCTGCAAAATGAAGTCAGCATCTCCATAAAGCTCGTCGGCAGAAGAAAGCATAAAGTGCTCCAAAATATCCTGGTAGACGGCTACATTTACTCTGGACTTAATAAAGCACAGTGCACCTTTATCTTCCACACTTTTCCACATAACTTTCTATTAATGTGCTTTGAAATAGCACTTCAGAAACACCCAACTTCTTATGCAATTACTTTTTGAGGCTTTCCCTTCTTATGGAATGTGTTAATGATGGTTTTCTGCATAACTGTCAGGTCAGCAGTCTCCCCCATGATTGTGATTCCAACTAAACCAGACTAAGAGACCATTTCACGGTTCAGGAACCCTTTGCAGGTGTTTTGGATTAATAAGCTGATTAGAGTGTGACACTTTGAGCCTAAAATATTGAACAATATTCTAATTTTTTGAGCTTTTGAATTTGGGGTTTTCATAAACTATAAGCCATAATCATCAAAATATTAACAAATAAAGGCTGGAAATATCTAGCATTGCATGTAATGAGTCTATATAGTACATTAGTTTCACCTTTTAAGTTGAATTAATGAAATAATTGAACATGATATTCAAATTTTTCGAGTTTCACCTGTAGAAGAGGTGGACAGAGAGACAAGTAGGTAGGGAAGAAAAGGAGAAGAAGAAAACACAGATACTGAAACAAGGAGGAAATGTTTTCTTTTTTTCCTTATTAACACATTTCATTATAACATTTCATTATCTTCTACTTCCTTTCTTCTTCTCTCCTTCCTCATTGGCTTCAACCTCTCCTTAATTTCTTCTCACCCTCCTTGTTTATTTCTCTCTTAGTTATTTCCTTCTCTTCCTCTTTGTTTGGTTCTCTATCTTTCTATCCACTCTTCTTTCAAATTGCTTTCCATCTCCACCTCCTCATTTCTTTCTCTCTCTCTCCATGTTTACTTCTCTCCCATCTCACCTCCTCCTTTCCTTCCCTGTTCCCTCCCTGCCTAATTTCTTCCTCTCTCCTTCATTGTAGAACATGTTTAGCTGAGGGAGAATAACCAGCGTTATCATGCTGACCTCTGAGTGCCTCGTGCTATCCTCAGATTCATGCTTCAGCAGACTGCAGCTCATTGTGAGCTCTGCGCGTGAAATTATTTAATAAAACTAGAGCTGGGCGATAGAACGATGACGATATGTATTGCGGAATAACTTTTTCTCGATAGAAAAGTTAAACTATTGCGATAGGCCTTATCTCTCTTGTCCTCTTAAAAAAAAGAAGAAGAACAGCCAATCCAAATTAAGTAGCGCAGAGCCGAACCAATCACAGCCGCAGCGTCACGTCACGTGACCTGTTACCGAAGAGAAAACAGATGATGGTTCCAATGCCGGAGAGATTGTCGAACGGAAGAGCCATAGAAGTCCCATAGTGTGAAGGTATTTC